TCTCTCTCTCTCTCTCTCTCTCTCTCTCTCTCTCTCTCTCTCTCTCTCTCTCTCTCTCTCTCTTGCTCGCTCGCTCTGTGTGTGTAGGTGTGTGTCTATCTATCTACCAATCTATCTCGATTTCTGCGTATATGGATCGACCCATCTCTTGTTGGAGAATAGTTCAAATGGAAGAACAATGGTCTCCAAAACCATCAGTTAAGCGTTCGAATCCCTGCGTTCCTGTAATGAAATTTTAATTAATGTTCCTATCGGTCCATCAATCGATAAATCGATCGATCGATCGATCGATCAACCGTGGATCGCAGTGCATCTAAGACTTCTATCACTATCGACCTATTCTTACGATGTCCAAGTCCATTTAGTTCTATCACTATCGACCTATTTTTACTATGTCCAAGTCCATCTATTTTCTAGTATCACTATATTTCTATCCCGATCGACCTATTTGAACTATGTTATCAAGTAAAACGATACCCGTTTCTTGTGAAGGAATGTTGTCGCTTCATGACTAACGAGGCGTGAGGAAAGAAACGTCAATTGTGAAGGACTGCTTCGTCGGCGTTCCACCGACTGATCACACGATTACCAGTGTGTGTGTGTCTGTGTATCGTCGCGCAGCAGCGCTCGCCCTCCCTCGCTACGCTGCCCTGTGCTGCCATATTCCATTCGCTACACTCCCTCGTTATGCTGTCCAACCATGAGAACAACCACATATCTTTCCTTCTCTCGGCATTCTCTACATGCTGACTAAATTACCCCCCGTCACCATCTCCATGTGTGTGTACGTGCGTCTGTATGTGGCGTCTGGTCCTGTGTCTGCGACAGCGCAGGTGTAGGATGGTGCTTGCACGCGCGATGGACGGAGGTGTGCATGCGCTCCTGTCAATGAGAAAGGGCAAGCGCAACAGCATGGTTGGTGCTTGGGAGACGGCTTGGGGATCGGCGTCCGCTTTCGGAGGCAGGCCAGCAGCCCTTTTAACACTCGCAAAGGATGCTACTTTCCAAGCCCTCCTCTTCACTTCACTGGACCTGCTCAGATCAGTCAAAACATAAGGACGTTTGGCGGTCGTTTCACAGCGAAAGGGCGTCCAAAACGAAACCAAACGAAAAAAACATTCCCGCGGTCGTTTTCTGCGGCATCGTATTACTCTCGAAATGGAGAAAAGACAAAACTTTTGCGGGCGCATCTGGTCATGTTCTTGCGGGAAGTTCATTCTTATTTTGCACATTTCGAGAGTGATGTGGCGATGCCCTTGGTCAATTGCCGAAAGTGGCAAACGGCTATACTTCGCCGAGAGTTGGCGGGCAGTCCTTGGGAAGATTCGGTAAAATTGGGAGGATACAGGGCCTCGCCACCCCACGCTCGAAATGTGAAAACGACAAAAATCGGGCGGGTGCATCTGGCCATGTTCTAGCGCGAAGTTCCTTCTCATTTCGCACATTTTCGGGAGTGGTGTGGCTATGCCCGCACAGAAAGAAGAACAGCATGGCCCCTGCGCAAGGATGACACGCATAAATCGAGAAGAACCTCGCGCTTCTTTTTCACTGCCGCGCTTCTTTTTCACTGCTGTAGTTCGTGGGCCCTGCAAGGGCCCGTTTTGTACAAGGGCCTGTTCAAAAAAAAAAAAAAAAAAAAAAACCTGAAGAGAAC